TAATACAAGGCGATGAAGAACAAGAAGAAGAGGAAGAAGAAGAAGAACAAGAAGAAGAAGAAGATGATGATGATGACGACGACGACGAAGAAGAAGATGATGATGATAATGACGATGATGAAGAAGGCGATGAAGATGAAGATAATGATGACGACGATTGAATGTTCGACATCTATTGTAGCAAATTGAACTATCATTTCAATAGAGTTATCTAAAATACTATCTAAAAAGTTGTATGGAATTATTTATACATTGACTTTCAAAACCATTGATCCTTCCTTATTCATTTATTTTTTTCCCTTCATTTGTAACCATTTCAATGCAGTAATGACAGGACAAGGATCAGAACGTCTGGATAAAGGAAAGGGGGTAGCAAGGCCTAAAAAGAGGCAACGGCAGGCACCAAAGTATGTACTTAGGGTGTCTGCTAGAGTACCTACCATTGCTACCCCCGGTACATCATCTGTGGGTCCTCCTCCTACCCCTACAATACAGCCTCTTACTCCTGCAGTAGACCCTACTCCTACCTTTACAATACACCGTGATCCTACCCCTGCAGTACACCCTTCTCCTACTCCTGCAGCACACCCTTCTACTACCCTTGCAGCAGACCCTCTTCCTCCTCCTGTGATTATAACCCTCACTCCTCCCCTGTGGTTATTACCCCCACTCCTCTCCCTGACCCTACTTTTATACCTTCCTCATCTTGTATACCACCTTCTGAGATTGTCACACCATCTGCTGATCCAGATTCAAGTGGTGATGGTGAAGGTCTTGACCCGCCCCTCCATGATCGACCATGGATTGAGCCATATGGTAAAGGGTAAGATTTTAATCTCTTCGTATAATTTCATGTTTATACCTTACTGTAATTGAAATGACTTTTATTATGCAAGTTTATTCCATCTAGGGTTGCTTCCCAGGCCATCACACGGTCAATTAAGCAACAGTTTTTAAGTCCATGGCCTACTTGGGGAGCAATACCTGATGACGACAGAAAGCCATTCTGGGAGCGCTTTCAGGTGAGCAATCCATTAAACTAATTGTCCCTCTTATTTTAGTATGTTCATTAATCAATTTTTGTTCTGTTTAATGTTACAGATGAAGGTGCAGTGGAAACCTGAACATGAAACACAGATACACAGAAATTTCCACATGAAAGCATCTCATCGGCTTCAGAGATGTTTAGGGATGCCCGCAATGCAGGAGAGCGCCCTTACTAGCTGGGCGAACAAATTTGGAACTCTTTACTGGCTCATTGGAATACAATAGAGTTTCGAAATAAGTGTGCCAAGGCGCAGAGAAACAGAGCATCTGAAAAAGGGTGGCACCCTGCATACTGGTGGGTCGATAACCATTCATGAGCATGCCATTCGTATGGTAAAATTTCATTAGATAACTTTTTCTTTCATATATAAGTTATGCATTTTCTATTTCATATGTACACTTCTAATTGTAAATTATCTTACAGGCACAAGCTCTGGGACGGGCGGTCCATGTTGATGAGGTCTTTGCACAGACTCATGTAAGGAAGGGAACTAATCAATTCATTGATGAAAGATCTCGGAAGACTCATGTAAGCAAATTCCACATTATAAGACTTACTAACTTTTCATTTATGTCATTCTATCATTCCCTAACATTGCTTTTAATGTTTCAACAGGAAGAATTTTCTACGAGACTTTCACAGGTTAGATCTGAACATGAGTCAGCTCCTACACCGGATGATGGCAGTAATGCAGAAGATGACATCCGTAGGACACAGTGCTGGGTCGACATCGTTGGTGGGAAGAAAAAGGGACGAGTGTACGGTGCAGGACAACTTGCTGCAAACTATACAACGTCGAGAGGAGGTACTCTGAAGCACCAACCTTCTTCTTCCACCACTGCTCCTGACGAGGTCATTCTCCGCCTCACGCAGGCACTAGAGCAACATGACCAGGAAATCACTGATCTGAGAGCAGAGTTTACAAACTTTAAGGCCATGGTCATGAGAGTGTTGCCTCAAACTTCAGAGGATGAATTCAATATCCCTCCGACCCAGCCACGACCCTCCTTGTCACCCGCTGCCTCTCAACAGCCCACATCAGTCCAACCCTCATCAGTCCAACCTTCATCAGTCCAACCTTCATCAGTCCAACCCACACCAGTCCAGCCATCAATAGAGGAGCAGGATGATGAAGATCATTCTGATGATAACTATGTACATTATTAGTTTCATTTTGTTATTACTTGTTATACAAACATTTCGATATTAGAACATTTGGAGTTTAGATCATTTCTATGTTAGATCAACTGGATGACTTTGGATGTTAGAACATCATTATTCCACATTGTTTTATGTTTTAACCATAAATACATGTTCAGCTAATTAATGGATGTTCTATGGATATTATTGATCAATGATTGCATCTTTGAGATGCACATCATGCAGGTCTGTATGTGCTTGAAAAATGTTATGCAGGTCTGTTGGTGTATGAAAATTGCTATGCAGGTCTATTTATGTTGTTGGTTTCATAATAAATACAAATGTGTCTTATATCTCCCTCGAACTTACCGAAGGCTTTTGCCCTTCGGTAAATAACCACGTTCGCTGATTACCGAAGGCTTCTGCTCTTCGGTAATTACTGAAGGCTTCTGCCCTTCGGTAATTACCGAAGGCTTCTGCCCTTCGGTAATTACCGAAGGGCGGAAGCTCTCGGTAAATGTTAGCGACAAGGGATTTACCGAGGGCCTTTTGGCCATCGATAAGTCATCTGTAAATGCCTTCTACCGACGATTTTGGGCTGTTTCCGAGGGCTTATGGCTTTCGGTAATGCCCTTCTTTTTTGTAGTGATTATAATATAAAACATACATTTTTTTTAATACTTTACAAATATTTAGTGTAAAATAATGATTTAAAAAATTTAAAAGCATAAAATATCTCATTTTGGACATCACATGATATGTCATTAAGGAGGCACCCCATTGGAGAGGACATCGGTGCATGGCTGTATAATTATAGAAACACTCTATTGGTATATTGGACGATACATCAGTTATAACATTTCTCTGCAATGGCTGTGTAAAGATGCAAACCTCTTACCAATAATAATAAATTTATGTGTGATTCCTCAGGTCACCGATTCTTTACTCTTCACCATCAACGCGCTCCCAACTCAACACTAAACTCGGTCACTGCTTTTTCATCTAAGGTTCATATTTGTGCTGAATGGTGGTGACAATGGGTTCAGCTTGCTTCCAATGGGTTCAGTAAAGTTCATAAAATGTAAACCATGGTTGTCTTTCTCAACTCAGAATAATTCATAAAATTTGTAAGAATCTGTAGTATTTTTTCCTACATTTTGAGCATGCACACAAGAGTTATAGTTTAATAAT